GGGTCATGAAAGAAAGGGAAACATTGGCTCTTGGGATGAGTCTCATCCTTAGTTTCAGGAAGCGCTCTAGGAACACTTCCTAGTCCGAGTTCCCAACGCAACCTGCAGCATTTGTAGAAGATGAAGGACCTGCTGGCTTGGCTTCCATCCACGGTGAGTTCTATCTTACCGTGAACTTTGTGGGCAGAGGGAAAAGTAGAACTAAACCATAAGGAAGTTGCTCTTGAATTCAACTGTAGGTTGTCCAAAGGTGACGCCTCTGGATGGAATAAAGTGTTCTAGTTCAGGTGTGTCAAGGATGTTTGGGTGTCCATGATAGACAGTTCAGTGTTTAGTTAATGGACAGATACAGAAGATAAAGTCACATGACTCCTGTCATCTGATTGAGCCCATTACATAGAGTGACCTGGATTTGGAAACACTGTCTTTCTTTGTCCTTGGGCAAAGTAGACATACCGGGCTTCAGGAGCCTTTAAGTTACTTTGAGAAGTCAGAATTATGAAGAGTTAGAGATAGCCATAGTCATCACACAGTGTTACCTTCTCTTAAGAAAATGTTCAGATTCTTTACATTGTAACAAGGAAGGAAGATGATACCGTTAACCTGAGATTTGCTCAGAACATCTGAACGGTGTTATAAAGTCATGTTTTATAACAGCTGAAGAAGCATGGGGAAGCATACATGTGTCTTTTGGAGCTAACTCTACAGTTATAAGTATACTGGGTGTCTAATTAACACCAGAAGAATAAATCTTAAGTGTCCCATTGCCTTATTTACTTCTTTTTCAGAGTTTCTGTCAATTCACCTTTACCTAAATTGCTGCTGCTTTACGAATATCATCTAGGTCTAGATTAAGCCGTAGTGGTGTAGAATGCAATTTGCTATATTTGTTTATGTTGTTTCTTAGTCTTAATGTTGCATTTTTTTCTGAAGGCAATCTTTCTCCCTTTATCTTCCTATTGTATCAGTCTACAATTTCATTTTGTAGCACTGCCAGGGGAGCCAGGGTGTGTCTAAAGGTAAGGATGGGATTGAGAAGGCCTTGGTAAGAATCCGTGGCAGAAGGTTGAACATTACCTCTCTCTTGCTCCTAGCACTGGGCTACTTAGAAAGATAAACTTCAAGATGGCTCGTATTTAAAGGGCAAGAGTGCCTCATTATCCGAGTATTTGTCAAGTGAGCATTCCAGGAACACATTTTATTTCTTTTTTCCTTTTCCTTTGTTCTTTCTTCTCTCTCTCTCCCTTCCTCCCTTCCTTTCTTTCTTTCTTTTTTCTGTTTTGAAACAGGTACCTCTCTTAGTCCTGGCTGTCCTTGAACTCACAGAGACCTGCCTGTCTTTACCTCCCAAGTGCTGTGATTAGAGGCATATATGCCATTATGCCTGGCTTAGAAACACATCTTCCACAGGAACAACTTATAAAGATTGGGTGTGGTCTTACCACAGTTTAGACTCTCAGATGCAGTTTTGTAAAATGGGCTGTAGCTGTTTGTTGAAGTGTTCCAAAGTGCTTGCATTATGTAGGGCTAGTGTACCATCCCTTAACCTCTACATAATCTGTAGATGTGAAACCATCTTGGAGAAAACCATAAGTGAAAATAAGTTCACTGTCTCTTATTCACCTGTCGATATAGGTTTAGAATTCTTACAAATGGCAAGAAGAATCCCATTTTGAAGGCTATGAAACTGGTGACAATATTCATAAAGCCAGCCCAACTCCTATTATGATCTCCCCACTCAAACACACATGGGTTTTGCAACATTGCATAGTTCCATGCAGACTGCGTTGTGTGGACTCCTGTAATCAGTGCATTGGTGTGGAAGGACCCTGAATGACTTGACTGCATTTTACTTCTTAAGTGCACTCCAGCATCCCACAGACATGGAATAGGAGCTTGGGCATTCACGGATCATTCCTGAACATGTGTATGTTTGGATCATAGGGTCTGGGTTTTGCTTGTGTGTCATATGCTGAACACGGCCAAAGAACACAATTTCAAGCCGGCTGGTTGTGGCGCACACCTTTAATCCCAGCACTTGGGAAGCAGAGGCAGGCGGATCTCTGTGAGTTCAAGGCCAGTGTGGTGGGTAGAGTGAGTTCCAGGACAGCCAGGGCTGCACGGAGGACCCTATCTTGAAAAACAACAGAACAAGACAAAAATAGAACACAGTTTCACCATCTGAATATGGAGAGAGGAAGAGCTACAGTGATCTTCAAAACGGAGAAGGGGCTGGTTCCTGTGGGGCTACACGTGTGCTGTGGCACCCAGAGCTCCAGGGACTGAAACAGCTGCAGAGTGACCCTCACTTCCGAGGCCTTCTGGGTTGTTCTGCAGCTTCCAAACCACTCTGCTTTTTCTAGTAGGAGACCGTAAGCAGCACAGTTCTCCCAAGCATATCTTTGTTACTGTTGCGATCCACAGCAAGCTCTTGCAAACTAAACTTTACACTGGCAAAATTTATGCGGGCTCTTAAAGTCCTGGGCCTTCTCTCTGGCCTTCTCTCCTGACTTCTCTGCTTATTTTCTGCCTTTTCTTGTTTGCTCTTCAACGTGAAGCCCTGGCTATTCAGCCATTCTATCGACTTGGGCCGACATATTGGACAGAGTGCACTTTAAGTGGCTAGCTTAACTAAAAGCTAATGTGGGCATGTTGGAATAGATGCCCATATCAACATATTAAGCTTAGGACTATATTCAAGTAGGATTTAAAAAAAATTATGTTATGTACCTCAGACTAGAAACTTTAAAGAATAAAATTCACATTGTGAGTCATGGTGTATTTAGATTATATTTTATTAGACATTCTTTACAAATTTAAAATATTGCCATTTTTACATGCACAGAAGAAAATCAGTCAAGATAATTATATTTCAGCATTCATTAAAATCAACCACAAATAGAGACACTTTTTTCATGTCGAATTCATCAACATACTTGATATGTATACCTAAAGTGCATTATGTTACAAAAAATAGGAGTCAGCAGCACCAAGATACATTTACAAAATAAATACATTATTTGTCAAAATAAATTATGGTAACAGTGATAATAATAATTGGATTAGCCTTGGCAAAAAAAAAGAAAAAAAAAGAAAAAAATATTCACATGACCAATGTGCAGTTTCCTGGGGAGACAGTTTGATCCCAAACACATTTACAGTATGTACAGGCAATAAATATGTCTAATACTTTCCATATGTTTACTATTACAGAACCCTGTAACGTGTCCTCGGAAGATAGATGTGCGATCAAAGTTTCAATGCATCCTGTGAAGACAAGAAAATGGGAAGCAAAGAGATTACTCTCCGTTACCGACGGGATGACTTGCAATAAAGACGTGAGTGAGGGATGCAGGGATTCCTGGGAAGAGAGGGTGGGACCTCAGGCCATTGCCTATGGAAGGGGAACAGTTCTGTGGAGAACCTGGGGATGAAGCTAGACTTTGGCATCGGACACGGGCACTCCTCACTTAGACCCTAACTTCCCAGCAATGTCTGAGTGGAGGCACCTGGAGCCCCTTCATCCTGCCGGGGGCCCATTCAGCTGTGCACTGTGATGGGGGAGAGTAGTTAGCTGGACACACACTGGAGGTGTAATTATACAGAACATACTGTGTATGACCACGTGACAAGACCTGTCACTTTTGAGCTGCCTTTGCACATTCTTAATGACGCTCACATTGGATTTAATCTTCAGAGACAAAACTATAATTATTTGCCTCAAGTGTTCTGGTATGTTTGAATGAGTTTTTCCAAAAGAAACAAAAAACTTTTTTTTTTTTTTTTTAAAAAGAGAGGTTCTCACTGTATATCCTGGGCCAATCTCAAACTTGCAATCCTCCTGCCTCAGCCTCCCAAGGACTGGAATCACAGGTGTGCGCCACAATGCTACATAACAGTTCATTTTAAACTATTTGACGCCTAGGAATAAATGGAGTTACCACTGCTGTGTCTGTGTGACCATTCAGTTAGTGCTGAAGGTCGTGTGCTTTCTAATTAGTGTGGCAGCAGTGACGTCGTTGGGGGAGGGCGTTCTGGATCCTTTGTGCTCTCTCACATTTCAGTGAATGAACACATACTCGTTTCTAAGGAGTAGGCATTGACTGTGTCGTTAACAGGCAGACATGTGGGTGGAATCTTATGCTGCAGACGTGTGGGTGTGATAGCCAAGAACCCCTGACCCTTTGTGGAGTGTCGCATTGCAGTTTAAAGAAAGAAAAGTTGTCAGATGTGTAGGATGCCTTAAGGGGCTGCTGACTCTTCACCCAGTAGTTTCGGTTGGACTATTTAAATGGCCCCAATTGAGGAAAGGAGGAGAGTTTAAGGCGAATATTTGAGCTGGGTGGATGTTAGCAGTAAAGCAAAATAAATAAATAACACTTCAACATCCACTAATTTGTGTGTTGCCCTGACTAAAACGTGTGTTACTAATTGGCGTTTATGAATTGAGTTAAAAGGTAACAAAAGTGGGAATTAACAGTATTTTGAATGATTTTTTTTTTCTCAAAAAGAAAGGAAGAGGGAACAACGTATCAAGGACTAAAAGTTTACCTTATCTAGACTTGGAAAAGCCAAATAAAACATATCATGTGGCTAGCATGAAAGTAGATGTGTGTGTGTGTGTGTGTGTGTGTGTGTGTGTGTGTGTGTGTGTGATAGTACTTAGAGTTTTAGCTTTTTTGACCAATGAAAAGTTTTTATATCTTTCTAACTTAGTATTTTCCAAGTCAAAACACGATTTTCAATAAATGAGTCTCTATTGCATCTGGGTATCTCCTAGTGAACAACAAAGTTTTTAAATGTAATTTCACAACTTAAAGTTATATATTTCCTTTGAACAGTTTATAGCCAGGGAGGGGGGATTAAATTTTCCTGGTAGTTTTCTTTTAAGAGACTATATAATAAAATAAACTAAGGCTCACACCTGCCACTTTGTCAGACCTGTAAGTCATCACACAGCAGCAATGCTCTTAAGGGGTTGGTACTTGTGGCCTCTAACTCTACTCTGAAGATGTCACCTGCATATTCTGAGCAGCGCACTGGTGGATCTCACCCTTTTCTCTACAAAGGGTGGGTCCTGTCATGACCTGGTAGCCTGTGCCTGGGTTTGCTTTAGGCTACAGCCTCATTTTTTTACGAGGTGTATTTTAATGAAGTCTTAGCCCTGGGGTAAGAATTCATGAGCATTGATTGTCGGTAAATTTTCAGATACCTGAAGACCAGTGCAAAGTTTAAAGGTATTCATGAAAATCATTTATGCTTCTATTTTTTTCTGGTTCTAATGTAGACACGTGTGCATATACTGTGAGGTAAATGATGAGAGTGGGGTGTGGCCACAGAGTCCTTGCTTTAGTTATAAATATATACATTGTATTTATATCTCCTAGTTATAAATATATACATTGTATTTATATCTCCTAGTTATAAATATATACATTGTATTTATATCTCCTAGTTATAAATATATACATTGTATTTATATCTCCTAGTTATAAATATATACATTGTATTTATGTCTTCAAGTACACCGGGTACATCAGTGAGTCAGGTCCCATGAGCCAGCTGCAGAATAGACCACTCACTGTGCTAGAGTTCTTGAAAGCTGTTGCACACTGAATCGTGAATCTGCAATGTATTTAGTACTACTGCTGTTTTGCTTTCTGTCTCTTAGTGGACTTCTCAAGAGAAAAATGGTGGGGCATTGCTTTGGCCTCCTCCCCTCCCCCTTGACCTCTGTAATGAGATGATGAGTTTCATATGATGTGTTCCTGTACGGCTTCCCTCTTCCTTTTGAACCCCGCAGAAGTTCTATACTGAGGAAAAAAAAAAACAAAAAAACCCAAGCCCACCCCAGATTCCATCAGTGGATAGAATCAGAGAAGTCTGTGCCGACACAGCACTTGCTCTGGGGAATGGGAAACAAACGTAGTTGGGATAGGGGTGCATTGTCCAATTCTAAAAACAAACTTTGGTTCTCCACTTGTAATATGTGCTTTGATTTTATGTCTGGTAAAATGAAGTAAGCAGAAACCTGCCCATTTGCCATCTAAAAGGCACAGCGTATGCATACACATACGTACACGTGAAGTGCACAGACCGAGTCTTGGGGTGCTTGCAGTCATGTGATCTCATCTAATTCTCACTTAACTCCATGAGCTTGGAACTTCTTCCCGGGAGAATAAAAGCTCTACGTGGTGGATGTTAATGTTGGACCCAAGACCTAACCTTGAGTTACCCGACTTTATAACCAGTGAGTGCCTTGAGTTCCTGCATCTGTGTGTGAAGGGTGAACTGGCGTCGAGATGTGCTGTCTGCTTACTTCTTATTGTGTTACTAGGGAAAAATCGTGCCAACTTACTGGTATAGAAGTACACAAAGAAAACTAAGACTGAAAAATGTCAGAAACCATTCTGTGTTGTAGAGCTGGTAGAAACCAGAATTAGATGTTATTAAAAATCAAATAAATGCAAAGCATGTGTTTAAAAAAATAATTTGTTTACGTCAAAATGAGTCAGAAATGTAACGAAATACACTTAATTAAATAATGTGTGAACAGCTCAGAAGTGCTTATGTGAGATACTGCCAGGCCATGTTGGTGGAAACTATCAAGGCCTTCTGAGTGCCTCCTTGAAGAGAAGGGAAGAAATGAGGAGAAAAAAAAAAAAAAAAAAAAACTACCAGGAAGGTTTTCCAAGATGTTGACATGGGGAACATGGTCAATTTCCCAGCCAACCATGACAAGGCTCACTAGGTTCAGCAGCTCAGCTAAGAACTGGGATTACCCTCTATTTGTGGGTTACACTTCTAGTCCCAGAATTTGAGGGGGGGGCAAGAGGATTGCTTTGAGCTCACAGTCAGCCTATGAGTAAGACCCTGTCTCAGGAACAAAACAAACAAAAATCACAAGGAAGAAGGGAAGGGTTAGGTGCAGAGGGGAGGGAGGAACAGGAGGAGGGAGGGAGGGAAAGAGGGAAAGAGAGAGGGAGGGGGGACAGAGGAAGAAAGGAAGGGAGAGAGGGAGGGAGAAAGGAAGGAAGGGAGGGAGGGAGGAAAGGAGGAAGGAAGGGAGGGAGGGAGGGAGGAAAAAAGGGAGGGAGGGAGGAAGGGAGGGAGGGAGAGAGGAAGGAAGGGAGGGAGGAAGGAAGAAAGGAAGGGAGGGAGGGAGGCAGGGAGGAAGGAAGGAGGGAAGAAAGGAAGGAAGGGAGGGAGGGAGGGAAGGAAGAAGGCAGGCAGGCAGGCAGGCAAGCTGGCTGCATCAGAGGGAGGTGAGTAGAGAAATTAACCTCTCCAGTGGAGTGATAAAGAACAAGGCTGGGAGTGTGACTTATACTGGTTTTAAATCATGCATCCAGGGATCAAGATACAGAGGTGGAGAAGGCTCTGAATCTCCTGGACCAGGGCAGAGGGAGGCAGGGAGACCCACTGAGCACAGTTGCTGGTACCTTGAGCTGGGCTCCAGCAGCCAGGGTTTGGAGGTGTGAGGCCTGGGGTCCTCCAGCAGGCGGCTGGCGGCTGTGGCTGGCCAGGCAGACCTAGTCCTTCGCTTCTTCTTGTCCTGCTCCTTACGCTTCCCGGGTTTGCTTTTCTTCTTCTTCCCTGGCGTCTTGAGCGGCTGTTCCTTGTAGGTCTCCGCCTTGTTGGTTTCCTGAGTTAGGTATCTGCCCTCATCGTCTGAGCCGAACCGCACAGGGTGGTTTTTGGTATTGGGAGCAGGCTTGGAATTGGGGGACACCTCCGAGGTAGCTCTGATCTCGGCTGTGTGGATCTCAGCGATCAGGTGGTGGAGGAAGAAGCGGCGGCGTAAGTCTTGGATGGACTTGCCCTTGTCGTGCAGTAACTGGTGTTCTGACACAGCCCGCTTGCTGTCAGGAGAGAAGGCGGTGGGTGTCAGCAGAGGCGCTGGGTCCTGCTAGCAGGTCCCCAGCAGGAATACACTGGGGAGGAGCTGGCTTCTAGAGCAGGGGAGGGAGGTAGGAAGGGGAGGTTTGGGAGCCAGTCACCAAGTCTCACCGTGGTGGGAGCAGGCACCTTCTGTCTAAATGGGGGTCATCTGTATAAAGTAAAGGGTCATCAATTCAGCTCCCACACCTGCTAAAAATACCGTGGCTAGGCTATGCTCAGACACAGGCAGAAGTAAGGCTCAGTCACACTGCTCTCGTTCAGCAAGTGCAAGGCCCTGGATTCTGTCTTTCGTACCCGGAATACATACTAAAGAATAAAATAAAAATTTGTCCTGAGGTGTTACTGCAGAAAATCTAACCACAAGCATCTCATCACACTTCCCAGATTCTGTTGGAGAAACAAACCCGCCATCCAGCTCCCTGCTTTTCTGAGATAGATCCCATTCCAGGAAATGCAAATGAGCACCCTCCAAGCTCACACACACACAGATACATATACAGAGAAATACACACACACACACACACACACACACACACACACACGGAGACACAGAGACACACACGTACATAGAGACACACACACATAGACACACACACACATAGACACACAGACACACACACACACATAGACACACAGAGACACACACACAGACGTACACACACACACACACACACACACAGCGAGTGTGAGAATAAGACGCAAGAAGGCCGAGGGAGGACTAGGAATGAAAAGGAAGGTTGCCTAGGGAACCATGGGGTCAAGATGCTGGGGCAGGACATTTCTGGTTAGTCCCAGGAGCCTGCGAAGGCAGGGGGAGGGGCAACATAAGGAGTAGCAGCAGGTCCGTCTCTGTTCCTCTGCCTTAGCGAGGTCCTGTGTTCCTTTGCACTTCAATGTTTTCTTTTTAGTTAAAACCTCAGGGCTGAGAGCGATGGCAGCACCTGTAATTCCAGTGCTTGGGAAGCTGAGCCAAGTGAATGTCTTTGAGTTTGAGGCCATCTATATGTTAGGATGACGTCCATTCCTCTTGTCATGCCAATCGTCTGGCTTGCTTCAGTTTAGACATTCTTATATTCTTATCTTTCTGTCCCCTCCCTCCCTCCCTCCCTCCCTCTCTCCCTCCCTTCCTTCCTCCCTCCCTCTCTTTTTTGCTTTTTTGAGTCAGGCTGCCTGGAACTTTCTACGGATCCCAGCCTGGGCTTAAATCTCTCTTTAACCTCCTGACTGCGGGAATCATAGGTGTGTTCCACCATTTAAAGCTTTATACTAAACCCCAGTCTCCGCGAGCTGACCATCTGCCTGAAATGACTTCCCTCAGAAGTATCTGAGTGTATTTCGTAGGCCGGCTTTATAAGCCTTTACTCCTACAAGAGTGTTTGGGGCCTTCACGCCTTTTAAATAGACCTTCACCAACCCCTCAGAGAAACAGGGGGATGACAAACAGCTTCGGTAGGCCCATTTTAAAGATGGGAAAGATGAGGTATGGAGACTGCAATCCACATGAGGAAAGCTCACAGAGAAGGGCTCTGATTCTTGAAGCTCAAGGCTATCTTTTTTTTTGAATGCCCCCAACACTTTCTCCAGCCCAAGCAAGACAGAAGCAAGTACCACAGAGGGAACAGGAGTGTGGGGCACAGTATAATAAGCCTCATGACAACAGGCTGACCACATGGAAACTGACCATAATCCTTGAAGACCAACTCCACTGAAAGTTGATTTCATCACCCAAGTAAGGAGGTAGGGTTCTCAGAGCTTGGTTTGTTATGGGGGTGGGGTGTAGTCAGAATGCCAGCTTCCTTGTAGTATTTTGGTATGGGGGCTGACTTAAGCCATATAGCTTGTTTAAAAAAAATAAAAAAAAAGACATGACTTCATGGAAAGGAATTTAACAGGAGCCTGGTTTAAACGAGGCATGAAGGAGGCTCTCTTCCTTTCTGAAGGTGCCACATGTGAATAGATTAAAATCCTCGTGCTCTGGTAACAGTTAGTAATCTGGAAACTTTTAATAGGCTACAAATTTGAGGTTTGAATACAATGTATTTATATCCTCTAATAACATTTTTTTTTTTTTAAAGGACAGGATTGCTCTATGGACGGCTCTCAAAGCACTGCATACCTTTTACCAAAACGCTACATTAAAAAGAAACCTTTGCTGATAATTAATCTTTCTGGGGTCTTTTTATTTCTTTCCCAATTCCTGGCTGCTGTTGTCCTTCTCATGTTCAAGTTTGTTGCACGGCTCAATTCTATGTGAACGTGGAGCCAAACCGTTAGTGGTTGGTCTGTTTGACCATTGCCCCTGCCTCTGGGACTGGCATGGGTGCCTGCCATCTTGGCCAGCCTGGCAACCGTGAGTCATGGCACCTTCACAACTCAAGAGCTGTACTTTCCCAGGATGGTTCTCATGGGAAATGCAGCACTAGCCTATCCTTATGTTTTATAAGACTTGAATGTCACGGTGTTTGTTGCCGCCTCTCCTCTCCCATGAGGTGCAAGGTTTTTTATCTTGTTTTGAGAAGATATTGTTACCATAGTGGAAAATACATTTATCTTTGATTTTTTTTTGCTGGTGTGTATTTTTGCTATATAGTTGGGAATGACCCTGAGCTGCCAGGTCTCTCCAGTGCTGGAATTATAAGGTATATATCACCTCTCCAGTTCTGGGATTATAATTTTACATGATGCTGGGGACTGAACTCAGGGCTTCATGCATATGAGTCAAGTACCCTATTATCTGAGCCAGTCTAGAAAACACAAATTTTCTTAGATGCTAAGTTAGACAAATGACTTAATATCTAAAATATAGCTGCTTCTGAAATACTGTGGCCACACACATCTGTCTGAGAAGTTGCATTAGACAGGTAGGAAAAACACAGCAATATCTTTATCACCAATGGAGAATAAGGTCCATAAAATGATCTACTTCTACAGTAAGATAAAAGATGACACAGATAATTGGCACGAACAAACAGCATATACCTTGGATGTGAGGGATAAATTAAGGGGTTTTCAATGCAGAAAACCCTGAAACATGTTAGCTGCAAATATGACATCAGTCTGTAAACATTTCATATCACAGCAGTTCGTGCAGATCTTATTACAGACCTAAGAAAAATAGGTACATTATACTTCATCATCTTCATTATCTTCTTTGAATATAAAAATTGGCCAAAATATTCAACAGAGATAACCTGGACTTTAGTCAAAGCATGGCTTCTCTGATAGATAGAACAACCATGTTCAATGGAGTTTCCAAGGAGGGAAATGAAGTTTCTAAGGAACTATCAAGGGATGGGGACAACAGTCATGGAAATTTCCCTGCCAGCAGCAGCTTGAATGTGCTGGTGTGAGGATGGGGGACTAGGAGTCTGAGAAAGTTCTGTGGTCCACAGAGGACACGGAGTGAGGGTGTTAGAGTGAGTGTGACTCACAACGCTCCCTTCCAACCCGGTGAGTCAGTAGAAAGTTATGCCTTCATTATGTGGAGTAGACCTAATCTGGCCTAAGCAAGACAGTCAAGGATGTCTCAGGCTTTCTCCATGTCCTGGGGCTCCCTTGGTATACCAAACTTGGAGGAACTACTGGCCACTGTGTTTATCCACACATCGGCATCCATTCACCCCAGCTTAAAAAGCACACTTATCACAGTCTCTTATCTCTGAAAAGCTACCAATCTCTAGCTAAAAAGAAAAAAAAAATCAATACATCTTAAATAGTGTCCATAAAATTGGATATTAATATGGTTTGGTGGTGAGTTAAAATTTCTTTCAAGGAGCTAGCTTGATCTTTTGAACAGCAGGTAAAATGTTTTGTCCAGCATAAGAATGTACTGTTGCTTGGCAGCCAAGGAAAAAAAAAAAAAAGAGTTTTTTTTTAAACTCCAGTTGGCTGTGATGATTGATGATTTAACAAAAAAAATTTCATTTGCCAATGATTTCAACTCCCTTGAAAAACCCCAGTGTGATGTGATGAGCTATTAGCCATTAGGTATGTGAGTGTCTCATAGTTTTATAACCATAGCAAAGTGTGAGCATTTAACTGCAATATTGTATTTCGCCTACAGAGTTAGAGCAGAGGCCCTGGCTGCCAAATGGTTTCTGATAGGTAGTTTTGTAAGGTGCAACAAAGAAAGAGTTAAACATAGCTATAAAGACAGCGTAGGGCTATTTTTATGCTGTCATTGTGGACTTGAGCATGGCTCATTTACTCTTTCTCAAAAGAGAAAATAGGTATTAAACAACTTTAAAGAAAAAAAATTGGCTTTGTTCCAAGACAGAAATTCTTAGCCAAATAAATACAGTATGTAAGTGTGCTTTCTCTCTCTCTCTCTCTTTTAAATCCAGTTCATCTGTATTTATATTTGGATGTTGGGTAATTGAATTTCACACAAGTCTCAAAAATGAGCGAAAAGTCTGAAGACGACTTTCAGAACCAGCCAGCAGAACATTCACTCTTGGGACACAATACTGCTTTATCTCCAGTACAATGTTCTACACAACTCGCCTTAGGAGATTCAGAATAGATTTTCATTCTGGTGCCAAGATTCAGACATGTCCAAAGTAATTTCATTTAAAGATTTTCTGCCGAACTAATAAGAATAGACCAAAAGCAGGCACAGAATAAGGTGCCTTTTTGTGCACCCTTGGGAATTTACAAGAAGCACCAGGAACCTGCCTGTTAATATTAGGTAGATATTGCTGTTTCTATTGTGAGGTGAGCAAGCCTCCCTTAATGCCTTCTCCAGAGCCAACCTCTGCTTGGTTCTTTCTTAAACTTTATGGTTTTCCCATTCTGAATACCGAGTCTGCTGTTATATATCCGTCCATGAACTGCTGTTCCCAGTACACTATGAAGACAGCCTGACTCAAGCTCACCTACAACTTCCCAAACACCGCAGCGATATTTTGTTTGCCGCTATACTTAGATACATGCTTATCTCAAAGTCAAATCGCTCTTCTTAAAAATAAATAAATAAATAAATAAAAATGAAAATCACCAACTGAGAATGTCCGAATGCAAGTTTTCTGTCCACAATGCAAATATTTCGACTCTGGGTGGAAGAACCGTTAGCAATAATTCCAGGAAAAAGAAAGTTTCCACGGCTTTGGAGGCGAGCTCACCCGTCTTCCTGAATGATACCGATACTAAAGTTGGAAGTTTGCCACTGAAAAGTTGCTACTATTAAATTATATAATATACTTCGTTATGTAACAGTCCTGTTTTATATGCTTAAAATTATGTCATTCATAATAAAACCAGACATAGAGTTTTTGCTCTTCTCACACACAAACTGCCACCCACATTTAGACATATCCACACGCACGCACACAGGCACACAGAGGGCTCCTGGATCCCTGGGCTCTCTGCTGAGTTTCAGAACCACCCTGGGCCAGTAAAGTAATCTTGGTGGTTCTCTCTGCAGGCTGCGATCTTGCCGGCAGAGATTCAGGGAAAGGCTCCCTCTTATGGAAAGGCGCATCAGACTTCTCTTTTGCCTGTCTGTTTAGGTGTCTCTACAGCTGAGGACTCTCCTGAGCTCAACCCCTTGGTACCAGGTACCCGGGGTGACTGTCTCTAACTCGGGCTGGAAACATCAGGGAAGGACGGCTCCGAGCCCTGGGCATCGGCATGGCCCCAGCCTGGCCACCTCTGGGACTGGCTTTCCCCACCCTGCGACTCGGGAGGACCCAATACTTACAGCCTGCGGCTGAGCCCCTCCACGGAGCGCCCACAGGAGGGCATGGAGTAACTGAGCAGGAACACCAGGACGCTCCATTGCTGAACCAGCCGCCGCAGCATCTTGCCGCTCGCTGGCTCTGGGACCTGCAAGAGTGGAACCTGAGGGTCAGTCCCAGCTCTCCATCTCTTCCTCGCACTGCCCCGCTCCCTCTTCTGGAAGCCCGTGGCTCCCCAAGAGCCACTCCAATGTCGAGGGCATCTCACAAGTTACAAGGAAAAGGAAAATAAGAAAAAGAAAGCAAAAAAAGTTTCTCCGAAGCCCCTGAGCACTTACTTCTGTAGGAATCAGCGCCTCCAACTGTGCCTCTCCCAAACCACACGGGGTAAAAGAGACTGGAGAGGGGAAAAAGCAACCGGAGAGCTTCCTCGGAAAGAAGGACCGAAAACCGGAGCGTTTTACTTAGGCATCGGGGATGCGTGGCGCGTCGCCGTGGCTCCCATAGCAATGTCTAATTAGTCTTGGCGGCAGCGGTCTGGGGTTCGTGGGGCAGGGCTAACCCCTTCCTCAAATGCGAATGTCCCGCGGGAGTCAGCTGCCCTGCGTTCCGGGACTCTGGGTGCACAGCCACTTGCGGGAGAGCGCGTATATATACATAGCTGTCGATCTACCTCCTCCGGTGGGCTGGTTGCTTCCGGAAAGTTGATTCCACAACGCCCTTGAACAAGTTGCAGGCGCGCGTGTCGTGGATGCGAGGGCCAGGTGGCCGCGAGGGCGGGTTCCGGCAGTGGGGCGGAGCGGCCCAGCTGGGGCGGCGCAGGTTGGAGAGGAGCTGCGAGCCCAGACTGAAAAGGTTCACACGCTCTGGGGCCAACCTGCTGAGAAATGAGCTAGTCGCAAAGAGGTGGCGCCCGAGGAACGCGCGCCGGCAGAGCAAGGGCGAGCTGGCCGGCGGGGGCGGGGAGCACAGGGGAGCCCGAGCCACCGAGCCCCACCCCAGCCCCAGCCCCGCGTGGGCCGATCTGAAGCTCTCTCTCTTCCTCGTGACCCAGCCTGCTGCCGCCTAAGTTGCAGGTCCGGGAGCCCAGGTCGCTGAGGAGGAGCAAAGAGGGAGACCCGGTGGCAGAGGACTCCCGGGAGTCCCAAGCTCGCCTGCAAGCTCGCACTCATGCAAGCCAGTATGCCTGGCCTGGGCTGGCCTGGGCTGGCCTTCCCCTGGGGAGGGGACCACCGGCTGGCATCCAGGAGAGCAAAAGTGATTTCTGGGCCTTGCTGTTTGGGAAGGGCTGGGGGCATCACATGTGGAGTAGGTCCAAGAAAGGGTTCATGGGCAAGAACGAAGACCCTCTTTGGGATCGCAAAGGACAGGGAGCACGCACTGAGTACTTTTTACCCACCCTTCCTCTGATCCTAGTCTATTGCCTGCTATATATAGATTCACCCTGTGACCCTATACCGATTGCTTCAGCTCCTCAATTCTGCTGGGCTGGGGAGAAAGTTGAGTTACTGGGTCTCATCGCATAGGAACGGGTCCGGCTGTGTGAGTGTGGGTACCGGTTCCCCCAGGGCCTGGATACTGCAGACTTGAATGCGGGAGCCACTCAGAAGAAGTTTGTCTTCTAGACAGCCTTGCTGGTAGGTTTCATCTGTCCCTCTAGGAGGCTAGTGTGATTCAGACGTTTAAGATGACTGGGAGTCTGCTGTTAGGCCTGGGCTGTCCCCTTGAAGCACCACAGGGTTACTAGGTGAGTGAAGCATGGGCTTCTCATCCATCCCCTTCCCCGAGGCTCTGCTGCAGCAGTTAAGGCTTCCAGCTGCCTTGGGTGGGGTACCCTCTCATCAGAAGCCCTCCTCTCTTCCTGGGTTCCTTTAAACTTCATACTTGTAAAAAAAAAAAAAAAATTGGCTTCCTCCCACCTTAAAAAGAAAACGGGGAATTTCCAGAACTTCCTTTAAGTGGGTGAGACTGTGACTGTTAGACCAGTTTGCATGAACAGGCAACCTTTGAACCTGCAACACTTTGTGACAGCCCCTCCCCCAAAGATGCTGGAGCCCTACCTAGTTGTGAGAGCTGAAGTGGTGGTGGTTGTGGGGGAGGCCTGGGGGAGAAAAAGAAGGGAGTCACAAACAGGGCGCTCTGTTGAGGTTCTTGAGACTCGCTTAACATTAAAGTGATAATATTTGCTTCCACGGGAGGGGGGCGGGAGAACCCAAAGGTACTTTGCCAAGTCTCAAATTACTCCGACTTAAAAAGAAATCTATCCTCCCTCAATAAAAGGTTGAAACAAAAACTAGACTCAAAATACAAAGTGGCTTATGTTCTGCATACATCCTATGTGCGGGCACACAGCTTTGTGTTGGCTTTTCCTAAGTAGACAAAATTGACCCTCTCCTCCCTCCCCCTCCTTTCTCTGCCCCTCCATCTGCCCACTTTTCTGATCTTAATGGAGGAACGTCATCCTCTACACCATACATGAAAAAGAAACTATAGAGAAAATATAGACACAGGAAAAATAAAAATAAGTAGCCTCATCTCCTCAGAGTCCCATCATTTCCTAATGCTGTGTGGCTTCACCGTTTCCTCGACTTGTGACCTCCTCTAAGCTCTGGCTAAAGAAGGGAAAGCCTGCCAGTCTCTTTTAGACAGATTTGTTTTTGCAAAATCAAGTTTTTAATGAATTAAAGACACGTGAGCGGCCTTTTCAATTGTTGGAAAAAAGGGCCAGGTGGCCCCCTCTCATTTCTTGCTGAAGTTTTTGAATTGATTTTGAATTTCTTGAGTAAATTCCCCTTAGCACCCACCCGACACCCAATTCTTTGCCTTGGCTACAGAGGGCGTTTCCTGACATCATAGTCTAACCTTATGAACAGGTCACATGCCTGCACCTGACCAAGTGAGAGGTTTGCCTCCTGTTACACAAATGCAACATGGTATACAGGAGGTCCCTGCTGGTCCACACTTATGGGAGCATCCAGCTCCAAGAGCAGTCTCTAGGCCCCCCTTCCCAGCTCAAGAGCAGCCTCTAGGCCCCCCTTCCCAGCTCAAGAGCAGTCTCTAGGCCCCCCTTCCCAGCTCAAGAGCAGCCTCTAGGCCCCCCTTCCCAGCTCAAGAGCAGTCTCTAGGCCCCCCCTTCCCAGCTCAAGAGCAGTCTCTAGGCCCCCCTTCCCACTCTCAGTGGTAATTTTCCAAAGCCAGCTCTTAAAGGGGGTTCCCCAATCCCTTAAGTTCACACTGGTGGCCAGTTTATAGGTATTACCTTTCATGTTTCCTCTCTGGAAAAAAACAAACAGAAAACTCAAAGTTGCCTTTGTACTATGTCTTTGCTTCCTCTGTCTTTCCTTTTTGGGTTAAACAATAAGCAAAGAATATTAGATACCTGTTTGAGTCATGCACTCAGATTTAGGATTAGCAACCAGATATCACGTCTGTCTGCCCTGTCTGCCAGTATTTCCAAGGCGGGTCTCTAAAACCCACAAAACTAAACACACGCACACACACACACACACACACACACACACACACATCCTTTCTTTCCTCTGGCCGCTGTGCTATTGATTATGAGACGTTACCACTTTGATAAGGGACCTCACTTGGTTCCCTGGGGTCACAGCTCTGATGACAAGCTTGCTGAGGAAGCAGGAGGAGGCCAGAGTCAGATGACGTCAAGGTTGCCGAGAGGAAAGGGAATATGAGGTTTGCGCATCCATAGGGGAGGAAGCACTTGCTCAGGATTGGTTTGTGGTTAGGCAAAGATGACACTCTGCTAATACCTGGAAGGCTGCTCTGGGGAGGGGCTGAACGGTGAGCGTGCCGGGCCTCTGTGACCCTCCTCTTCTTAGAAAAGTAGATGCCACAAGGACAATCTCTGCTTTCTCCAATCAGGACCTGGAAACCCATCCAGGAGACACCTGTCCATCCAGACACACTCCCAGGTGGAGCCTGAGATGATGTGAGATGAAAAGGTCTTAGGGAAATGGGCCCCAAGGTTCCACACTTGTGTGCCTTCATACCCGTGCTAGCAAGACATGTCTGAGGAAGGAGGAGAGGGGAGAAGAGGAGGGAGGGAGACAGAGTCAGTCAGTCAGACAGACAGACAGACAGAGAGAGGAGGGAGGGATGAAGGGATGAAGGCAGACAGAGACAGGCAGAGAGACAGACACACAGACAGAGAGGGAAGGAGAGAGGGAGACACCACACACACACACACACACACACACAGAGAGAGAGAGAGAGAGAGAGAGAGAGACAGACAGACAGACAGACAGAGAGAGTGAGTTTATTATTTGGGCTGTTGCTCACGAAGCCCTTTGCTGAGTCAAATTCTTGGCTCTCCTGAGCAAACAGCTCTGGACTTGCATGTGACCACAAAGAGGCTTCGAAGACACCCTTGTTCAAAGGACAGCCCACAGTCAGAGCATCTCTTGCCATGCCATTGAAACTTGTAGCTGTGGCCCAGTTCCATATGAACCTGGTGCCCCACTGTGCCGCTTAGAAGGCCTCACCCCCAGGTGATGCTGGGACCTCAGAAACGTTTATTCCCCTATCCCAGCCTCTGTTCCTGTCCTCTGGGCATGTCAGGAGGAAGACTTCCAGGTACGGGCAGGTGGGCAGGTAGGTGGGGCCTTGCACCTGCTCTGCTTTTAGCTGGTATGGCTGTGGGGCCTGCCTGCTTTTCCTGGAATGTTTGTCAGAACTATGGCCATGGCAGAGCATGGCCCCCTCCCTGACATCTTGTGCCTTTGTGGGACAGATATAGCAAGAGGAGGCCAGGGAAAGCACCTTAGGCAGAGGCTCGATGTGGGGGAGCGTCGTTACAGCCCAAAGTAGCATCGTGCTCCTCCCGGGGAGGAGGAAGCTTGGATCTCAGGACTAAAAGGAAGGCTGTGGAAGCCATAGAGCTGGGTCCTCTTGCCTGCATTTGCCTAAGGCTCACAGCTCTCTTGGCTGTCCTTCCTAAGCTTCTAGACTCCCCATGGCCAAAGTTTTGCTGAGAGCAGAGTAACAGACGTTCTCTCTCCATTCTGTCTTGCAAGGGGGCGGGGAATGCTGGGTGCCTGGTGGTGTAACAGCCTTTCCAGATTCACTAGCCCAATGCATGATTGATGATTGGCCCTCTGTTCTTGCCAGAGTAGACTTGGGGGACAGTGTGACCCAGGGGCAAGGGCTCAGGCTATTCTCCAAACTCTCTGAGCTGGGCTGTCTTGCTCCAGGATAAATCCCAGGGAGATAGTGAGGTGAATTCCTGATAGTCTGGGGTTGAGAAAAGTGTGTGTGTGTGTGTGTGTGTGTGTGTGTGTGTGTGTTGATCCCTTTCTGCCAGCCCAGGGGCTCCTTCCTGCTACCCTCCCGGGTTCATTAAAGCTCACCATTGCCAGAGGTCTAGGGCCTCCTGCTTTATGTCATTTAACACACACTGTGCAGCCAAGGCGGGTGAGGGGCCATGAGGGAGAGTGGAGGAGATGCAGGCGTGGTCGGAGGTCCTCTGTGCCAGAGGTCCCTGTCTGATGGCTAAACTCCAGCAGCTCCTGAAAAGAGCAGGCAACGAAGGGGCTTTTCAGTCCTGCAGCCATTTGCATGCCACTTGCCTGTCTGTTGGTGATGGAAGAGGGGTGTGGCGTGGAACACACTTTTTGGGTGTGGAATCCACCCTACGGGTGGATCCCTTGGAGTCAGCGAGCTGAGCAAAGCTGGCTGGGGCAGCTGTGAGCTGTCCATGGTGGTTAGGACTCCTTGACGAGCATGTGGGCAATCCCAGCCAGCCCTGAGCCCCAGAGCACAGCTGGGGCATTGCCAGCACCTGTGGAGCGGACATTCAGAGTCTCCGAGGTTGCTCACTCAGACACCATTCCCAGGGCACATGGTCAAAC